GGGACCGCCGGGCGCTCGGGGAGGCGAACGGAGTGTGGAAGTACGACCTGAGCCGTGAGTACTGTCCGACGCCGACCCGGCCCTGCCTGGGCAGCGGCGAGCGTGCTAGATGGCCTCCCTCACCGCACCGATGGGCACACTGAGGTCTGGCGAAAACGACACCTGGCCCGCGTTCGCGAGTCGGAAGGGACTGGAATTCTGGTCTCCAGCTGCTCAGGCCGCTGCGCGCAGCCGTCCCACCTGTCCGGCCCTAGCCGGACTCGGGCAGGTGCCTGAGCGCCGAGCTGAGGCGTCCTGGATCTCGCACAGTGCCCAGTCCTTAAGTAACCAGCACTTCGGGGAGGGACGGGCAGAAGGCCCAGCAGTGGAAAAATGGCCCGCCACACTCGGGTCCACCAGTTCGTCTTGGTGGCAGCTGTGCTCTCAGTATCCCGGGGTGTGGTGCAAGTTTGCCACCTGTTGCTTATAGAGTTGTCACTTCAGAGCCAGTAGGAATTAGGGTAGACCCAATATGGAGCAAACCCGACCTCCCATGATAGCCATGCACCAAAGAAGCCAGCCCTCTTTGTCTACACCTCTTCGAGTTCCCACGGACTTTGATTTGTGTAATAACGAACTACCCTGTCCCTGTACAAGAGTCACAGACTGACGCTGTGATGCCTGAAAGCAGCCACCATGAGGGCTCCCTACACCCTGCTCCCAAGTAACCTACAAAAAGGGGCTTTGACACATGCCTATAATGCAAGCCCTGGGGAAGCTGAGCCAGGAGGATCACTAGGAGTTCAAAGCCAGCCTTGCGGATGAATAAAGTGACAGGGTGGGAGAAGGGAGCGCTATTTTTGTGAGACCTTGGGAATTTAAGGATAGCCCCTCATTCTCTGCCTGCCTTTACCCTAGCTCCAATCCAGACCACAAGCACCCTGTATGAGCGGGGCTTTGAGAAAATCATGAAGCGACAGAATAAGGAACAGGTTCCACCTCCTGCTGTGGAGCCTAAGAAACCAGCAAATAAGAAGCAACCAAAGAAGGTGGCAGCCGTCCCCAGCCACAGCCAGAAGCAGAAGTGCTTCCGCAGCCTGGAGGAGGCCCTGAAAGTGGTGAGTGTGCCTAACTTGAGGCATGGGAAGATCAGGGGCTTCAAGTGCAAAGAAGATGGGCTGCAGGGAAGGACAGCTAAGGGAACTGTGGGATTTGGGACATCATTAGTTGAAAAGATCAGGGAAAGGTGGAACCCCAGTGGGGCAGAATGTTTGCACTTAGAGCAGAGTAGGAATGGAAAATGTGTAGGGAAACAGATTGGTGAGAAGAAAGTGTTGATGATCAAGGACAGGAGAAAGGGGACAGAAAAGCTGGTTTGATGGTTCACTGTCCCTCAGAAGCAGGGCCTTCCATCACCCATCTTGTCCTCTGTTTTTTCTCTTGAACTTGTGATGGTCCTACAAAGCCCAAGAGAACAGCCTTCTCAGCTGTCCTGTTCTTTACTTTTTCAAGGTCTGGGTGCAGTAAAATTTCTGCTTTCTATATAGTTTCATTTAAAAACAGAAACCCCTGCTTCTTCTGCCACCACTCATTTAGCCATTTTCCCACATCTACCCCATTTCCCTTCTGGTTGCTCACTACTCACCATGGAGGTATGTCTCTGGCAGCTGGATGTGGCAGCTCTGCAGAAGGAACTGGACAAGAGCCAGAGTGTATTCACTGGGAATCCCTCCGTGTGGTTGAAGGACCTGGCCAGCTATCTCAACTACAAGCTCCAGGCTCCTCGGAGTGAACCCACGCTCAGCCAGCATCCTCACGGTTAGTCTTCCCACCTCCCTCAGCTCAAAGGAGATTAAAGAAATTTTAAAGGGCTGTGTGTTTCTAACAGCCCATTTCCTCCCACTGTCCTGGTTTACACATGGTTATGCATGGCCTGGGGCTTCCTTAGAAGAGGGAGGATGCCAGCCTCAGTTCAGGGACCTCTGCCTCCATTCAGATTGGCAGGGGCACCTGGTGTTAGACTCACGTGGAGGCCAATGGTCCCAGATTATCCCTACAGTCTGGTGAGCCGGGAGCTGCGTGGGATCATCCGAGGGCTCCTGAAGAAGGCACCAGGGTCTCTGGAGCTATTTTTTGACCACTGTCTATTCACCATGCTGCAAGAGCTCGATAAGACACCAGGTAAGAGGAGCCCATGCAGAGTACGATCTTGGAGGCCTAGTCCCGTTTTCCTGCTTCCAGCAGAGAAATGTGCTAATCTCGATACTCTTTAGAAAAGGAGAAAAAGGTGAGGACTCATTAGCTGGGGTTCTTGGCTCACAGCTGCCAAAAAAGGAGACATCAGGTTTGGGATGCCAAGTAGTACGAGTAGGTCTGAGAGCATGAATTTCTCTAGGGGAGTCACTACACGGTTACCGCATCTGTGTGCAGGCCATCCTTCAGGATAAACCCAAGATTGTCACCGAAAATCTGGACAAGGTAAGCCAGGAATGATGGTAAGGACACCATGACTAAGACTAGGGAGGCTGGGAAGAATCTACATTGTTGGACTCAGTCGTGGGGAGGTAGAAGACTATACCAGGAATTCTGCTTTGCACTGTTAGCTCTTAATGTGCATCTGCTTTGGATATACATGAGCACAGACTGCTGTTCCCATCTTGTTGGTGGAAAGATTGGGCCACAGTGGGGCTTCGTAGCTTTCCTAGGGCTGGTCAGCCAGTAAAATGGTGGAGTGCATTGATGCCTGTGCTCTGAATCATAGCCCCATGCTACCATCGAGACCCACTGTCACTCGCCCCACCCGTCCTCTCCCAGATGATATCTCTCTTCCCTCTTGGCTCTGAGGTGTTCCTGAAGTTCTCTACCCCACCCTACCCTTCCCACCTGTCTCCTTAGTTCCTGGAGCTGTTGAGGTCCCACCAGAGCCGACCAGCAAAGTGCCTGACCATCATGTGGGTCGTGGGGCAAGCAGGTTTCGCCAGCCTCACTGAGGGACTGGAAGGTACTAAGGAAGTGGGAATAAGGGAACGATCCTGGAGCCAGGACACTCCCCTTTGACATCCCCTGTGGACAAGCCCGAGGCTTCCTTCCTGACCTTTGTCTCTGCAGTGTGGCTGAGGATCATGCTGCCTGTGCTGGGCATCAAGTCTCTGTCTTCCTTTGCCATTGCATACCTGGACCGGCTGCTCCAGTGAGTAATGGGGGAGGCAGCGAGGGGAAGGCCCAGGGTATCCACACAAGGCTGTTTCTGCAAAAAGGGATGCAAGGAAAGTCGGGACCAGCTCCTCCCACCTCAGTGTGATGGTGAAAAAGGAAAGGCGGGGAGCCAACAAGGGCTGGGGGCTGGGTAGTGTTTATACCCTCTTTCCTATTTATGGGCTTGGCTGCAGTTATAGCTAAAACAGCTGGCCTGGGTGGTGATCTCCAGCAAGCCTATTTCTTCCTTTCCCCATAGGATCCATCCCAACCTCACCAAGGGCTTTGGCATAATTGGCCCCAAGGACTTCTTCCCACTCCTGGACTTTGCCTATATGCCCAACAACTCCCTGACACCCAGGTAGGACTGTCCTGGGGCACACCTGCTGGCAAGGGTCCTCAGTGGCAGGTCAGGGACTGACCCAGGCACTGCATTCCCATTCCCTCTGCCCATGCCACCGGGATCTGGAAGTTCAAGATGCATATCAAGGGATGGATGGAACCCTGACGTTATATGAACTCTTGAGTATGATTGGCATATGTGCATTTTCTTAGGGAGAAGGTCCCTGGCTTTCATCAGATTTTCTAAGGGACTTTCAGTAAAAAGAGTGCCATCAAGAGGCCCTCAGGGACTGTCTTGTGAGGCAGGGCATGGGCCCGGAGGCAGGAGGCAGGAGGAGGCTTGGAGGTGCAGCTCTGTGTACAGCCTGGGCCTGGCCTCTCTATTCCTCCCCAGCCTGCAGGAGCAGCTGCGTCGGCTCTACCCCCGACTAAAGGTGCTGGCGTTTGGAGCGAAGCCAGAATCTACACTGCACCTCTACTTCCCTTCCTTCCTGTCCAGAATCACCCCTAGCTGTTCATCTGAGATGAAGAAAGAGGTGAGGCGCTCATGGCAGACTTCTTTCCCTTGCCTAGGGGTCTGCTGGCCACCCTTAGCTCTCTCCCATAGCCCCCTGCCTTGCTCACTACCACCCTGCCATCAAGAGCGGTGCCTGAAAGGGAAGCACATCCAGGCCTGGGGATCTCTGGTGCCCTGTCCCTCGCACACATGTGATCCTTGAGCATACATTCTTAACCCAGAGCCCCTCCCCTGAGACAGCTGCTCAGCTTTCTAGGTCTCGATGCTCCTTCTGTGCCCTTGGGGTGGACAGTTGCCCTGGTGGCCTCTGTGCTTTCCCTCTCCACCAGCACCAAGCCCCCAGCAGTCTCTCCCTTTCCCTGTGCAGCTCTTGGGCAGCCTGACCCAGTGCCTGACTGTGAACCCCCTCAGCACCAGCGTCTGGAGGAAGCTGTACCCCAAGCACCTACCACAGTCCAGGCAGGTGGGGGTAGAGTCACCTGCCTCTGCCGCACACAGACACAACAGCCTCCTAGTTCCGGTGTCCCAGCCTGCTGTCCTGGAAGCAGAATGGGAACCTGGGTGGCTCCTTCTATTGGGTCAAGCCTCTCAGAGTGGGAACATTCTCCAGATGGTCTCTAGAGAGCTGCTCTTCTGTGGACAGAGGTGGAGGGAGCCGGGCTTATTGGAAGATGAGGGCGGGAGGGTGGGAAGGCCAAGTGACAGGTTGTCTGATGGACGGCCGTGCTTCCCCACAGCCTGCTGCTGGAGCACCTGCTCAGGTCCTGGGAGAAGATCCCCAAGAAGGTGAGGAGCTGGAGGACAGGCAGGCTGGGCCTTGGCGAGGCTCTTGGTTCCTGCCCCTCAGCCAGTGTCTTCACACTTGGTCTGAAACATGAAGCAGGGTGGAGGCTTTGGATTCCCTCCCAGGCGGGGGCTCATGTTCTCAGCCCAGTTTTTGGTATCCTACAGGTGCAGATGTCTTTACAAGAAACCATTCAGTCCTTCCAGCTTACCAACCAGGAGCTGCTGAAGAGGGGCAATGGGAACACCCAGCAAGTTGCTACCTGTCACACAGCCTGCAAGGTGTGGTACCCAATGTCTACAACCCATGTGTGGGCCTGCATCTGTCTCAAGCTCTTGCCCTGGCCCAGGGTCATACTCCAGCCCCACCTGCAAGTTGTGCCCCCTCCTGCCTCAAGATGGGTATGCAGGCTCAAACTGCTCAGGCCTCTCTCTTTCCTGACCCTGTGCCCCACCTCCCTGCCAGGGCTGGCTGTGGCAGGTCCAGGCCCATTGCCCCCCACATACACACTGAAGATTGAACCCAGATCCTTTGCACTGAGCTGCATCCCTATCCCTTTTTAAAAGGTTTTTATTTTCAGATAGTCTCCCTAAATTCTTATTTGCCCAGACTGGTCTCAAACTTGCAATTCTCCTGCCTCAGCTTCCTAAAGTGCTGAGATTATAAGTCACTGGGCCTGATTGTTCACAGCACTTTCTCCTTCCCAACCAGGGTTTGCTGCAGCGGGCCCAGGGCCCCTGGCCACCCTGGACCTGGCTGCTGCTGTTGCTGCCCATCTTCACTGTGGGTCTCCTGTGCCATGACTTCTGGTCACATGGCTCCTTCCAGGGTAAGCAGTGATGGCAACCAGGGAAGGAAGTAGAGTAATGGGCACGGAGCTAGGTGTAACCCATACCCGTAACCTCATGTTCGTCCTGCTGAGTTCTCAGTGCCACAGAATAAACATTGCTGAGGTGGGCTTTTCTATCCACAGATAGCATATGACCCACAGATTGGACTGTTAACTTTATAGCATAGAAATGCTTGCATAGGTCCAGGGATATAGCCCAGCGGCACAAGCATCTGTCTGGCAAGTGCAGAGTCCTGAGTTCAATTCCTGGTACCAAAAAAAAGCTTGCATATTCATGATATCAGACAAGAAGGTGTTGCCTCCGCCTGACTCCCACAGCAGTTGAGGCTCAGGAAGGCTTTGCAGCTAGCGAAAGAGCATAGCTGAAGCTTCTGACACCTAAGTCCAGGACTCCACTGGTGCCCTGTTCCTCCTGATTACCTGGCCAGGAGGAGGCACTCGATCCCCCAGGCCTGCATGCCTCTCCTGAGCCTGCTGTGGACAGACTGAGCTGGCTCTGTGATTCGTAAGCATATACACTTCTGCCCTCTGCTCACTGTGCCTCCCGGGGACCTGCATGTCTGTGTCCTGAGTCACACCCTCAACCCCAGCTCACCGGAGCCTCCTTACCTAGCCTCCCTCACTGGTCGGGTGCTTCAGTCGTCTGGTCTCTTGCCCGCTGGCCAACAAGTGTGTGCCAAGCTCTACTCCTATGGCCTGCAGGGTTACAGGTGAGCTGCTCCCAGGGCAGGAGAGGGGTGTGGGAAAAGGCTTGGTGCTCAGGGTGGTGCAGACATTGGCAGGCATTTACAGTGCTTGTGGTTGTCCTTCTCTGTGGCCGCCTTTTCCCCAGGTCTTTGATAGCAGGGCTCTGGAGGAGGCTCACAGTCCTCCGTTCTCCCCTCTGACTTCTCTACAGCTGGTTAGAAGAGACATTGCCGGCCTGCAGCTCCTACCTGTTTACTGTGGTGTCACCCAGCTTGCAACTAGCCTGGGCCCACACCAGTTCTACTCTCAGCTTCCTTTCTACCCACTGTGCCTCCCACTTGGCCTGGTTCAGTGACAGCCTCACTGGCCTCTGTCAGAGGGTAAGCCAGAAGCAGAGTTGGAGAAGGTCTGGTCTTCCCAGGGGCAGAGTCCTGCCCTGTGTGGATGGGATCCTGAGGGCCTGGGCACCCTGACCCAGCCATCCCCTGTGGTCTGGCTGCAGATCCAGCTCCCTGATGCTCTGCACCAGCTGCTGCATTACCTGAGAGAGCTGCTCCTGCTTCTGCACCGGAGCGTGCTGCTGCCAGTGTGGCATCTGCTGCTGGAGGCCCTGGCCCAGGCCCAGGAGCACTGCCACGAGGTGTGCAGGTAAGGCTTTCCTGTGGGGCTCTGGCACAGTGGGTCCCCTCTGTGGCCTCACAGTGGGCCAAGCTTCACTGTTCAGTTTCATGCCACACAGCCCTGTGCACACACCCCTGCCCTTAAAATGTCTTGCTTTTCACCCAGAGGTGAGGTGACGTGGGATTGCGTGAAAACACAGCTCAGCGAGGCTGCCCGCTGGACCTGGCTCTGCCTACAGGACATCACAGTGGCTTTCTTGGACTGGGCACTCACCATGATATCCCAGCAATAGGCCCTGCCTCCCTGGTCACCGGTTCCTGTCGTAGGCAGGCCATCTGAGACTGCTGGCGGACAGAGGGTGGCAGCTGTGATATTATCTGGTGCCTGAGTTCCACCTCCATGGTGGTTGCCCAAAGGCCTCTCAGCCTCCCACCCACAAGTCCACTGGATACTTCTCAGGCCCAGTTGCACACACCAGGCTCTGCCTTTGGCTGGCAGCCTCTCTTAAGCACTCTCACCTCCTGCTCTCCACTTCCCTCCGTCTCATTCCTAAAGCCCCAAAAGCTCATCTCCAAAACAGTGAGACTCAGCAGATTTATCAGCCTCCTCTTCTAATTCTTGGTCATAAATTTAACCACAATGGAAAAAAGGAAGAGACTGCCAGAAGGATCCACAAGAGTGGCCAACAGCAGCTTCCTCTCTACCCTTCTTCTGCCTGGGTGTGGTGTCACTGGCTGTGGGGCCAGGTGGAAATGTCTGTTACCTCTAAACATCTGGCACAGGCCTTGCAAGGACCTTGCTGTCCCCTTCCATCAGAGTCCTGCTTCATCTCTTTCCCCTGAGTGCAAGGGCTCTGCCACAAGGCTCAGCTTTCTCCACTGCCCACTCCACCGTCCACCTGGAGAGCACAGCCCCGGTCACTGTGCCTCAAGCCCCCGGAACCTCGCATCAGCCTGCTGGGCTCACGAGTCAGCATACGGCCGGGAGGGTGGGGGCCTGAGTAGAATAAAGGACACATTTGATTTCTAGATTTCCTTTCTGCATCCTTACACAGGATCCCATAGTTACGGAGCAGGACAGCAAAGAGTGGGCCCTCGCCCTCCTGGGGATCACAGGCACTAGCTATAATTGAGCTGGCGAGGAAAGTCCACATTCATCATTCAAAACTAAGCCCCCTGCTTTTGCTCCCCTAATTATCACTTAGAACATTTGTGTCCCAAGATTTCCCTTCCTAGCTTTTGTTTTTTGAACAAAAAAAGACAGCCTGGAACATAGGGTCTTGCCATCTGTTCCAGACTGGCGTTGGACTTGCTATGTAATCCAAGCTGGCCTTGAATTTGTGGGAATCCACCTGCCTCATCTTCCCAAGTGATGAGATTACAGCCATGTGCCATCATGCCCAGCAGTTTGAGTATTTTATGATTGAAAAAGCAGGGGCTGAGGATCTCCTAAGGAAATTCTTAGCCAGTGATCAGTGGTGTCCTTCCTTTGCTCAGACCTTAATTTATTAATTTGTTCTTTTTATAAGGCAGTAAGTAAGATAGGAGATACCAGTCCAGGTCTTATCACCCTGTCCTTAGTTTGGTTTGAGGCAGAAGTAGTAACTGTACTGTTGTTTTCAGTTCTCCAAGTTTGTTTCCTAGAACATCTCAAATGTGAGCAGTGCCAGAGGTGCCATTCCAGCCCGTGGAATGGCTCCCTCATAAACCCATAGCAGTAAGCACGGATGTGGTCTGTTACCATTTACCCTTTCCTGGAGTGCCCTGAGACACCCCATTTCCAGCAGCAAGATTACAAGGAACCAAGTACAAACATCTTGGCCCACAGTGAGATGGTGAAAACTGGCATCTCATGCTTTTGTTCCCCCACCTCTTGGGAAATACACAGCCTGTGCCAGGAGAACCCTTGCTCACCTAGTGGCAGTTGGCCAATGACCATCCTTCCCTGGGAGAAGCCCTGCCCGGCCCCTGCTGAAGCACAGTCCTGGACTGTCCAAGCGTCCCAGGATAGGTTCCATTTCCGCTGTTTTTCCTTAGCAGTTGGCTACAGACAGGTTCAGCCCTCTCTAGTGAATCCTTGTAACTGGCCTGAATTTGGGAAAAGAAGACTATTTGTGAGCCTGAGTTGACACAGCCTAGGACAAGTAAGATGACACTCCATCCCAAGGTGACAAGTGCAAGGGGTCCAAGGCTGCTGGGCTGAGTTTTGAATCCGGCAACCCTGAGAATGCCACAAGTACTAGGTTGGTTTCAAATGTGCATTACATTTATGTATATTCTGTATTTTAACTTCTTAAGCTGTAATCTTTGGGTGCAACATTTTTCTTTTATCAATTTGGATTAATCAGGGTCTTTACAGCCGCTCGTGGGGACACTGACACCTCAATTGGCTTTATTCAGTCGTTGTCTGACCCCGGTATTGGGGTTCTTCAGACTTTCCCATCAAAGTAATCCAGCATAGCACCTGCTGTCTATTAAAGCAAAGCCAGACATCCAGACACTTTGTTTCTGCAGAGCTGTCAACAAATGGGAGTCCAAGCTGAGCTGGAAAATTAAAGCCGTGTGCACCCCAGAGTGTATTCCAGAGGTGCTGACGGGTGGGGTGACCACACTGTTACACTGAGGGCGTTGCTGGACGAGCAGAAGGAAGCTGGCGCCTCAGAGCCACATCTGGATGTTCTAACTGCTCACAGCTGGAGTTAAACAGATAATATGCATCATGCTAAAGGGCAGTTTGAATGTGGGTCTCTCTCTGCCATTATTACCAACACAGGTGGCCCTGAAAATAATACACACGATCCATTTCTAAACACCTCTTCTTAGGTCTCAAAGCAAATTTCTGTGCTCCTTTTCTGTTTGCCCAGTTCACACCTTCAGTTTTAAAAAGCAGGACATCCTAACACTGCAGACAGAAACTTGCTGGGCTCACACCTGTGCACCGCTGCTGCATCCTCTGAATGCCATCACCCTTGGGAGGACCGTTTCCCATGTGGATGCCTGCCCTGCCCTACTCCCAAATGCCCCACTTGTCAGTTGTTTCTATGCTTGAATGACTTCCGAGCGTTTTGAAGTTTTATCACCCTGAAGGGAATTTGGTTTTGGTTTTGGGGGGTGTGTGCGTGTGTGTGTGTGTGTGTGTGTGTGTGTGTGTTAAAGTCTTGCTATGTAATCTAGGCTCTGTGTGTGTGTGTGTGTGTGTGAGAGAGAGAGAGAGAGGGAGGGAGGGAGAGAAAACAGTCTTGCTGTGTAATTTAGGCTGGGCCTGAACTGTGCAGCCCAGCCCAGTCTCAAAATCACAGTCCTCCTGCCTCAGCCTCTCAAGTGTTGGGATCACAAACACGCACCACCATGCTCAGTAGAGTGGGATTTAAGTGGATGTTTGTCGTTCTTATTTTTCTCTTGTTGCTAGGACAAAATACTTGATGCCCAGAATTAAGGAAGGAAAGGTTTATGTAGCTCACAGTTTGTAGTGGTTTCAGACCATAATCAGCTGGCTCCAAGGCAGAGTGGCACATGGCAGAGGGCAACAGTTCATGGCAGCTGCAGAAAACAGCAAAAGCAACAAGAGCGAAAAGGGAGGAATGAGAGAGCAAGCCTCTTTCCCTCCCTTATATTGTATGCAAGCTACCAGCCCCAGGGTGGGTGTAGCACTCACACCCATAGTCCCAGCATTGGGCCATAAATCAATCACACTCTAGAAGCTGGCCCCATAAGTGCATGAGGCTTTCAGGGAACATCTAGACAGAAACCGTAACAATGCTTAAAGTGATTCATCCTTTTACTATATAAACTTCACAGTATGTCTCCTGAAGGTATTTGAGGGAACCAAGGGCCTTGCTTTTCCCTAAGTAGTGCTCCCTGTGTACTTGCTGTGCAGTTTGCTACCCTAGACTTGAACTGTAAGAAGAATCCTGGGGAAGGCAAGGCATGGTGATACACCCCTGTAATCACTCAGGAGACTGAGGCAGAAGGACCACCTTGAGTTCAAGGCCACCCTGACTACATAGTGAGACCCTGTCTCAAACAAACAAAATACAGATTAAATACATAATTCATAGAAGAAATGCAAATGAAAATAGACTTAAAAGATTCACTGCACTGGTAAAGAAGTGCAGACGACTTGGATGTAGCTCAGTGAAGACCTGGGTTCAATCCCATGTCCCCCTAAAAGCTGCAAGTCTAAAATGAATGCCCCTTTTTTTTGCCTATCATATTAATTGATTCTTTGAAGTAATAATATACTCGGTGAATGCTATGATAGAATTTGGTATGCTTCTGGGAAATGATTTGGCAAATTTTATCAATGCTAAAAGGCTCATGCTGTTTGCCCAAACAATCTCACTTTTAAAATAATTCTAGATGGGGCTGGGGATTTAGCTCAGCGGCAAAGCGCCTGCCTTGCAAGCGCAAGGTCGTGAGTTCGGTTCCCGGTACCGGAGAAAAACCAAAAAAATAAAAAATAAAAAAA